AGAGAGAGAGAGAGAGAGAGAGAGAGAGAGAGAGAGAGATATGAAGGGAAAGAAAAGGAAGGAAGGGAGATCCATTAAACATGCTGCCTAGGTCCCTGCTAGATTATTTTGCTAGTTACTGTGCAGGAAGAGTAGATGTATATTTCTTACTGATAAACACATTTAGTAAAAAGCAGTGCTTTAAGGTAAAGCTAGATGATACTATTGAAATAAAATATTAAACTAATTTTTAACTGTTAATTATTTATAAATGTAACATTAAGAAGAAATAGCTAACTCTGTTTGAGTAAGCTTTCAATTTCCGTGACCAAAAGACCTGACAAGAACAATGTAAAAGAGGGAAATTTATTTTGGCTCATAGTTTCAGAGTTTCAGTCCATGGTCAGCTGACTCTATAGCTCTTGGTCCAAGATGAGGCAGAACATCACAGCAGAAGGGTGTGGCTGATTAAAGCAGTTCAGGGCATGGAAAACAGGAAGCAGAGAGAGAAAGTTTCCTCACCAAGGACAAAACGTAAACCCCAAAGGCACACTACCAGTGACCTACTTCCTCCAGCCACACCCTATTTGCCTACAGTTACCACACAGTTATTCCATAACAGTGGATTAATCTACTGATTAAATCACAGCTCTCTTAATCTAATCATCTCACCTTTGAACATTCTTGCATTGTCTTACACATGAGCTTTTGGGGGACACCTCATATCTAAAACATAACACCCAAATGAACTGACATCACTGTACTAATATTATGACATAATATCTACTATTTTCCATCACTTTTTTCTTCTACCCTAACATAGCCCATGTACTAATTCACAGAGGTCTTAGCTAGCATTTCTTATCTAGTATATCTCTCCTTAATGTGTTTGTTGTGGACTTTGCTCTTCCATTAGATGGTGACCTCCAACAAGGGCAGGTCAGCCTTGTCTCCCACTATATACTCAACATCTCGAACCACACAGGGCATAGAGCTCAGCCCATTGGAGAACATGCTTCCCACTTCCAGCCTCTCTCGAGAAGAAATTAATTCTCTAACCAGATTCTGGTTTTATGATTTTTGCATTATTATAATGAAAAGTTGTGACTTAAGAAAAAATCTACTCAAATTGATGTCAGCTCAGAGTGGAATAGAACAATTTAGAACCAATCTAAAAGGTATAACATCAAAATTCATGATTGTATATGTAATATAATTTTGTATAAAAAACAACTCCTTTTAATTCCTGTCTTTAATTTTTTCCCATATAATTTTCATCAATTCTGAAAGCCTTCCTGAAAACTCTCAATTAGGTACCAAAAGTGTTTGATGAAATTAGCTCTTTATCTCTTCTCTTTCAAATATTTTCCAGTTTTCCTTTTGGGGAAATAGACATATATCTTTCTTATATCTTGACCACTCATTCTCTGAACAATGTATCTGTTGTATTCTGAGATTCCTCTTCACTGATGGAATGAAGTAAGTTATAAAACTGAATTAAGTAGTACAGGCCCTCATACAGCATGATTTAAGAAACAAAGAAATTTTCCAGATACCTGGAAGAAATCCAAAACCTTTTTCTAAACTGCCCAAATCCTGCTTTTAGATCTTGCTCTAGCCTAGATTTTTTACTTTAATTTTTTTTTTAATTTTACATTAGTCTTAGGCTTTGCCCGCATTGTATAAACAACATAGATTACTAAATCCCTCCTCCAGGGATCAGAAGTATGAAACATTTATGGGCCAAATGTTAAAAATACCTTAGAAAAGGAGGCTGAGTCAGGTATACTTCACTTTAAGAAATATAACTTTATAAATTTATTTGGGGGGAGGAGAAGGAAAAAGATAGCACTAGGGAATGAGATTGATCAAATAATGTTATATCCAGGTACAAATATGGCATAACAAATCCCATTATTGTGTATAATTATAATACACTACTAAAGTTTTTTTTAAAAATTCATTTGAAGAAGAAAAGTAATCAATATTCCCTCCCACTTTTCTATACACCATTGTCATCTTCAATATGATATTACCTGAAATAGTCTCAATCTTTCTTTACTTTCTTAATGAACCCCCTTTTGAAATAATTATAAATATCGGTGAAAGAAATCTCTGGCCAGGTGCGGTGGCACATACCTGCAATCCCAGCAGCTTGGGAGACTGAGGCAGGAGGATCATGTATTCAAAGCCAGCCTCAGCATAAGTGAGGTGCTAAGCACCTCAGTGAGACCCTGTCTCTAAATAAAATATAAAGTAGGGCTGGGGATGTGGGTCAGTGGTCAAGTGCCCCTGTGTTTAATCTCTGGTACCCAAAATCAACAACAACAGAAAAGCATCTCTGCTTTGAAAACCATATAGTTTGGGACAGGGATATGTTGAAGAGAATAAAAAAAAAAAAAAAGAAATCCATGCTGAGGATTAAATTTATTTATACTGAAGAATTTTTTTTATTAAAAGCCTTACCTTATATAATTTACCTTTTCTCCTTTCTTTCAGTTCAGTGATCATTTGATGACTAAATTGAAATAAATGAAAAATGTATGATTATTTTATAGAAGAGAAGCACTTAGGACTAATAAATTCCAGAAATGGGAACTATAGCTGATAACATTAACATAAAATATATCTGCTTGTGATGGTTCTAATAATGTTTAAAATTAGGATCTCTCCCACAGAATCTTGAATGTATTCATTCAGGAATTTGAAAGTTAGTTGAAATTTCAAAAAGTCCCTAAGGTGAAATAAACTACCCAAATAAAGGCCTCAGCCAAAATATGCTCATAGTGCTTTTGATTTAGATGTGGAAGGTGGAACCCAAGGGCAAAAGCCTGAGTCCCTTAGTTTAACTACCTTAGCTTCAGAATAAGAGAAGAGGGCCATCTCTGAAGTTAGAGGTCAATGGGTCAACCCTGTTACTAACTCCAGAGTAAGATGCTGGATTTGTGAAGAAAATGAAAATGAATCGTTGCCCCTAAAAACTCCCCTAAACCATTTGGCCACCTTAGATGACAGACTAAGGAGTTATGGCCACAAACTGGATTTCCAAGGATTAAAGTTTTTTAGTCTTATCCTCTATGGGCATTATTGTTTACCACATTTATAATTTCTTTGACATGACAATTAACAAAACAAGATGTTTTCCATGTCCAAGTTTTCAATCATTCTTCAAGTTCAGAATAAAATTTTTCAGAATTCCAAATTAAGGAGAACTACATAATTTATTAAAATTGAGGTATTTGGTATTTGGAAAAGAGGAAAGTATTCCCCTTTTAAGTTAAGTAGTACTCTTGTGGGGTTCCTATGAAATCTGCCTTCTTGTCAGTGTATGTGCTCTTGCTGTGGTTCTATATGAAGGTTTGCAAACTTGACTCACATTTCCTGCAATTCTATTTTTTCCCACAGTATCTCTGGCTATCGCCACTAAGGATTATAACACCATTCTTTATCATTGGCTCATCGGTAGATATCATCAGTGGGTTGTTTGCTCCTGAGAATCATTCTAGGCTTTATATGAATAAACCGTGTCATATTCAAAGCACACTGGATTTTTAAAAGGACTCAAATATAAGGTTATAATGATTAATTAAAATGGATCATAAGCTTTCAGACACAGAATCTGTTTGTGGCTATGAACTTGACTCCCCTGTTAGTGACTTTATACATTAAGGGCAAAACTTCTATAAAAATGACAACAGCAGATAAGACCTTTGACTGGCATTCTTTAGATAGTTTGTGTTAAATGAAATCAAGCATCATCACTGTAGGAATAAAATGTTATGTTTTTCCTTTGCAGAAAGAATTTAACAATGACTGTAAGCTGAAGGAGAGGATAGAGGAAAATGGATACAATACCTACGCATCCTTTAACTGGCAGCACAACGGCAGGCAAATGTATGTGGCGTTGAATGGAAAAGGAGCTCCCAGGAGAGGACAGAAAACACGAAGGAAAAACACCTCAGCTCACTTCCTTCCCATGGTGGTCCACTCATAGAGGAAGGCAATGTTTGTAGAAGCAGAAGAACCAAAGGCTCTTTGGCCAGGAATAGTCAATATCCTTCATGGAGACAGTAGCTCGAAAGGCAAAGAAACACTGCAGACATCTGCCTCCTTAAAAGAAAGGAAGCCTTTGACGGTTTTTGTACTCACTGCTGACATATGATGTTCTTTCTTTAGCTCTGTGTCATGCCTTATAACTAAGACAAAGGCAGATCAAACGGGATAGAAGTTATTCCCAAGAGAACAACATTATGGCTGGGTTTTTTGGTCAAGTTGTTTTGTTTGTGAACCTCTGAGACAGAACTTAAAGGACATGGAACAATCTGTTGAATGATCTTCGGGAAAGTTATTTATGGAATACGAACTCATATCAAAGACTTTCATTGCTCATTCAAGCCTAATGATTCAATGAGCAGTAAGACACGCAAGCATTTACTGGAAAGCACTTGGGTCATATCATATGTGCAACCAAAGGAGCTTTGGGTGTGGCACCATGGAAGAATTGGATAGGATTTAAAAATATAAATGTTTTAGTGTGAAACTGTTCTAACAATACGAATAGTATGGTATGCTTGTGCATTCTGCCTTCATCCTTTTCTATTTCTTTCTAAGTTATTTATTTAATAGGATGTTAAATATCTTTTGGGGTTTTGAAGAGTATCCTCAGCAGCTGCCCTCTGATTTACCTTCTCTTTTTTTCTTCAGCACACCACATGCATGTTCATGACAAAGTGTTTATAAAACTTGGCAAACACTTCAAAAATAGGAGATGAAATTAAGAAAGCAATGTGAGCTCCCCATGTGCTATCAGTTGACTTAATTTGCACTTCTGCAATAAGATCCATCAGTAATAAAAATGGCAGTACTCTGCCATGGCTTGAATGAGATCTGTCTGCCATCATTTAAAAACGTGTATCACTTCCTTTTCTAAGAAATAGATGAGAAGGCCAGACTCTTCTCTTTGAATGCATCAATTCATCTCCAATAATATACTAAAGAAGGAAAGTGAATTGTTGAGTGCATTTTTGTAGCCTAGCCTCATTACTTTCTCATGATTTCTTGCCATATGTCACAGTGGTAAATGATGAAGAGGCTATCTGCAAATGGAAGAACCCTTTGTAAGTCCCACATAGTGCATCTCCCCCAAAGAAACATCAAGGAATTGGGTATGAAGTGCAACTCTCCCAGGGGCTTAAACTGAGCAAATGTATCCTGGTATATGTGTAACCATATACTGAAACCTGTTCAAGCTGTATGATCTAGTCTTTACAAAACCAAATAAACCTATTTTCTGTAAATTTAAAGAGCTTTAGAAAGTTCCATAATGTAGCCATATTGAAATTCATTTGTTAGAGCAGGTATAGAAAACAGTACATAAGTACATAAGTGTACCAGTCATCATCACAATGTATTCCACTAAATAAATACATAAGCCTTATTTGCAGTGTCTGTAGTAATTTTAAAAATGTAGAAAAATATTATTTGTTCTAAATACTTAAGTGATAACTATAAGACTATATTGATGCTGCAGTTTTATCTTCATATTTCTTGTTTTGAAAAAGTCTGTTTATTTTTATTGTTTGGACACAGTATTTTGGTACAAGGAAAAGATTCCCCAAATATGTCTTTTTACTGAAGTTTAACCTCTAGAAAGGCTGGTGTTTTGTTATCCTCTTATAACTTATTTGTGTTGATGCTTAACTAGCACTTCCAGCTAATCTGTCAATTAAAAATTAGCTTTATTAAGAAAATTTCCCTTAAAGTAATTTCATAAAGGTCTATTTTTATGATTCCTTAAATGTGTTGATATTTCAAAAGAAATGCATTTGAGGCACATTGTTCTGGTCAAGGCCTAAAGTTGCAACTCATGATACTTTGTTCCAATTTGTTTTTTGACAAATAGGATTCTATTTGATTTTTGTGGTTGGGATCTGCATGTTAAAATTTCATTGATAACTGAATCTGAGAGCTATAATGTAACACATTCCTATGGAAACTAGGTATCTTTTTTTTCTTTTATTTTAAAATAATAATTGCACCTGATGCATCAACATGGACCACCCACAACCAGAACTAAATACTTAGTGAAACAAATAGAGTACTTGATGACCACAGTGACAGCAGACAGGCACAAACTGGATTCTTACTTCACATAGCCATTTAGATTACCCAAGAAACTGTTTAAACAGTCATCATTGTGGTCCTCAAGACAGCTTCTAGCAAAGTGTATCAAAGCTTGCAGTGTCCCAAAATAGAAAACATCTCTCCTCTGACCCGCTCCACTCCCTACCCCACACCCCAACAGAGGTAAAGACAGAAATGGTTTGGTAAGGAGTATGAGTTTCCTTTGCATTTAAAAATGTCATCTCTGCTGGATATTGATATAGAATTCTGGTCCCTTTTGCAACTACTGAAGGAAAAGAAGTTCAATTCCTGAATGTTGTAGGTTAAAAAAAAAAAATAGAGATTTGGGAGCTCTGCTTCTGTGGGAAGTATGGGCCCTGGCCCAGGAAATTCAGGTGCATGAGCCACAAATATGTGTCCATACGAGTGTTGGTTCTGAGGAAGCGACTCCTAAAGGTACAGAATCACTCCCTCCTCCTACCTCCCAAAAGGCTGAACAGTGTATAGTATGTTACATTTAAATAAAAGCAATAAAAATGCTGGGAAAAGAATATAAAAATATTGTTCTTGTTTGTTTTATTACCCTAAAACTCTACCTGATAATGAAGAGAGAAGCTGGAGGGTGGTGTGCAAGTCAGGATGTGGTTAAATGCCCCAACAACAACAACAGGAAAAAAAAATGTACTCAAACATTTGTAAGGTTTCTTTAATGTTTTACATGTGTGAGTCGGCTATTCCTTACTCTAATAACAACCAAATGCTTTCGATTTTCCTAAGTATTCAGGTCCACCTCGTTTACACAGTGGATAAAGAAGAATGAATTGGAAACAAGGATGGCTTGTGAAACAATGAGAGACTTTTGGAGGAAAGCCAGGGGGCTGCAAAATCTGATTTCAAGGGGATGGAATAGGCCCACAAATTTCATTTGAAAAGTGGAGAGAAAAAATTCATAATAGCACAAGTCGATTCCAGGACCCAAGCAAGTTTATGGACACAAAGTAAATGGATCTGTATTAATACTGCACATTTCTAATAATAATTTGGATGTTGTTAATTCAGTATTTATGATTATTCAGTGAGACATGATTAACCCTTTCCATATCAGAAAGTCTTTAACTAGTCCAAGCTTTGTCTAAACAAAGATATGTAAGAAGCTACAAATATTTTGAGAAGATTATCATACACATAGAACAGCACATACACCTACAAATACCATGTTCATTAAAGTTCTTAATAATTATTTTACTAGACAGGACTTTTGCAACTAAAACTAAGCTGCAAGAAGAAAAGAGATATATTCCAGGAAGGTGTGGGGAGGGCAACTCTAGAGTTCTACCAGAACTGGGAAATGAAACAACTAAGATCTGCTTCTTCTGACACTGACTTGCTCTCATCTTGGATGGACTTCATGTGTTTCATTGTTGCTTGCTTCCAATTCACTTCTTTCTAACTTCCCAACCCAAAACTTCTTTTCCTCAAAATCCAACAATAGAAATATCCTAGGTATAACTCTTGCTGATCAGATACAGATAGCATCCCAACCTCCAGACCAATCAGTGGGACAAGGGATACAGACATTGTGATTGGCTCACTTAACTCACATGACCACCAGAAAATCAGAGTGTAGACTTTGGAAGCACCCAGGATTGGGGTTAGTGAACAGGTGTGCATTAGGAAAAAAGCATAGTGGTTGTTAGCTGTATCTATTTAAAAGAGACTACTGGCTAGCATTTGTTTCTTTCCTTTCTGCCCACCCCACCCACCCCCCCCTTTTTTTTTTTACCAGTTCTAATTATTCTTCATCTATTTGTCCAAATCCCAGAGATTTAAAGGTTTTTTTTTTCTTTCAGGCATCTTTTCAAAATAGAAAATTATATTTGTTTTGTTTTAAGCTAGGAGTGGGGCCCTGGTTATAGCCAGACTCACTGTGGTTCTGTAAAGATAATTATGATGAATGAAAGTTTATACTGAATAATAGTGACATAATATGATGTTGTAGGTATTTCTTTAATTTTATCCCAAAAGTGTGTAGAAGTATTTTCAAGCAAATCAACATACAGGAAAAAAAAATCAGAAACACCAGTGTCATTCATTAGAAAAAGGAAATGACTGGCTTTATGTCTTTCAATTTGTCTTATATATATTCAACATGAGAAAAAAAATTCATTTAAAAAACATTTGTTTTAGTTGTTGATGGATACAATACTTTTATTTTATTTGTTTATTTATATGTGGTGCTGAGGATCAAACCCAGGGCCTCACACATGGGAGGCAAACACTCTACCACTGAGCCACAACCCAGTCCTCAAAAGGAAATTTTGTAACCTACATTTCTCTTTCCTTTTTCAGACTAGAATAAAATATAAAATAAAATGCCCTGAAAGTTAATAACCTCATGAGTTAAAAACTCATGCACAAACACCATGAATTAGTTAAAATGGAATAATCATGATCAAACTAATGAGATCAAAGAAACAGTCTCATTCTTAAGTGGATAATAGTGAACATTTCCATTAGCCTGCATCATGATAGGAGCTAAAGGCAACAATTCTATACTCAGAGAAAAGCCATATGCCAACCATGCATGCATGTGGCATGTATTATTTTACACATTTTTATTATCCTCCACAAAGAGCCCATGTTCATTTTTTAATGTAGGCAACTGCATCCTCCAGAGATGAGCACAACAAATGAAAAATCAAAACATCCCGTGTTACTCATTACAACTGTAAATTGAACATATGCCTTCATACAACTTAGGCAGTGACCCCAGCTGTAGAATAACCCACTGCAGTATGGCCTTAGCCCTCTAAAGTTTGGTTTTAATTACCTTATACACATCTTAAATGCCTAAATCATCTTACAATTTTCTAAATTATTTAGTTATCATTTCTGTGGTCAATTTAAGTTGCTGACAATGCAAATATTCTCAGAGAGGTCTTTCAAGAAATAAATTAAAACCAGTGTTTCATGAGGTATTATAAATTTTGAAAAGACTGCTTTTTATGGTTATGGGATGCATTAAGGTTAGGGGTCACTTATCAATTCAATTCAACACACACACACACACAAAAAAAAAAATAGTTTAACATCTGGTATTTAAATACCAGACTTCTCTATAGCCCTATAACCATTATTTTCAGTGACATGAATCAATATGCTCAGATCAATTGCATTTAAGCCTACATCAATTAAAATTACATAAGAAAAAAGTATCTGTTTTTAGGGAACTTTCCAACTGAGAAACACTGAAAGATGGCAATGCCTATATACACATAGATAATGGACAGTACCTTGTTTTCCTGATAAACTGAATACCATACATGAAACATATTTTACAACTTGAGCTTACTCTCCTGCAGGAAACAAATTAAACAGGAATTTTAATTTTAATTTTAGGCCAATATCAGCAATCATTACTCCTCATCTTACCTTAGGGAAGCTCTACATTCCTTCCTCTAAGATCTCCTAAGAAAAGGGCAAATCAGCATATTTCAAGTACCATAATTAGTTTATTTTCCTGTTTGTCCTCATTTTATGCTAGGTGATATTTAATAACTATGTGACATGTACTTCCTTACTGGACTCACTGGCTGACCTTATTAGGATCAACCATCTACTTCAGCTGCTTCAAATAAGTAAAAACTGCACAGTAATATCAGTATAGATTATCAGAGGCAAGAAGTTCTGGTAACCTAGATTATTATTATATTTTTCTTTCTATTTTTTCCCCAATTTCTGTTTCCACAAATATAAATATTCCCTAGTGATAAAACTAGTGCATTTTAATCATCTAAATTATTCAATACTAGTATTAAGGAAAAACAGCCAATCAGACAAAAACAAAATTCAAGCATAGGGACTATAATGGGTTGAAGTCCTAGTTCACATTACCTCACAATGTGGCTTTATTTAGAAACAGGGTCATTGCAAAAGTAATGAGTTGGGATGAAGTCAGACTAGAGTAGATCCAATATAACTGGTGTCCTCATAAAATGGTGATATTTAGACATAGGCATGCAAACAAGAAAGGTCTCAGTCCATAAAGTCTTCTAAAACAAAATACCATATATTATATGGCTTTTAAAAACAACAGATATTTATATTTTATAGTTCTAGAGGCTGGAAGTCTAAAATTAGGCTGTTAGAATAGTCAAGTTATAATGAGGGTTTGCTCCCTTGTTCATAATTGGCCACCTTCTCACCTAATTACCTCCCAAGGTCCCCACCTCCAAATGTCATAGCTTTAGGAATTATGTTTCAACATATTTAGTCTATTGTGGTTCAGATCTGTAATGTCACTAAAAAAAGCTCAGGTGTTAGGCAATGAAAGAATGTACATGCGTGAATGATTAGGTTATGGGAGCTATAACCTCATCAGTCGATTAATCCACATGATGGATTAATAATTTGAATGAACTATTGGGTAGTAATTGCAGGCAGGTGGAGCATGGTTGGAGGAGGTAGGTCACTGGGGGAGTGTCCTTGGGGATTATACCTTATCCTTGGCTCTTTGCTATTTCTCTCTCCTTCCTGGCTGCCATAAACGGAGCAGCTTTCTTCTGCCATGTTCTTCCTTTATAATGTATTGTTTCATCTCAGACCCAGAGTAATAGAGTCTGTCAACTATGGGCTGAACACTCTGAAACTGAGCCAGAACACCACGTGAACAGGAAGACAGAGTTTAGGTACTGAGTCTTCAAGCCAAGGATTAGCAATGATTGATCGTAAACTATCAGAAAGAAGAATGGCATATACTCCCTCTCAGATCCCTGAGAAGAAATTGGCAACGCCTTGATTTCAACTTTTAGCCCTCACAACTGTGAAATAGATTTCTGTTTAATCCATTCATTTTTTTTTTTTGGTATTTATTATGGAAACCTAAAGAAATCAATAAGGGCCTATAACTTTTATCATATAACCCATAGTTGGAAAGCTGTCTGAAATATGGAATCAAAAGGCTTTCAGATAGTGCAATAGAATTGTTTGGCAAAGCAAACTTAACATGCTTCTAAGATATGTCATTGCCAAAAAACAGTAAAATTTTGCTCAGTCTTTACTTATTCAACCCATAGATCTTTACAGTATCCCCATAATCATGTCTTGCTTTCATCCCCCAATGAGTTTATTATATGGTTAGTTTGACCAATGGCTCTTAACAAGAGAGAGTCAAATATCCACATTTGACCTATGCCTCAACTGCAAGTTAGATGAGTTTGAGGTAAGTCTGAAAATTTAGTTTAGAATAGACATTTAATTGGAGGATTTGATTTCTTAAAAATATCAGCCTTCCCTGTTTTCTGCATGAAAAACAAATGAACCATCAAACTAATACATTATAAATCTACTTATGGCAGCCTCCACTAATTCCTAATAGTTTGTAACAATTTTTATGAATTAGCACAGCTCTTAGTAATTATTTTTACCCATAAATATTGGAAATTACACAATTAAGAAGATGTAAATACAAAATAATTCGATGGCTAATATATCCAAATGTTTATTTTCAAATTAATATTGCCCACTGCAGAATGGAACATTAGATGGTTATATTTATTT